AATTGAAAGTACTTGATTTAATACAGGAATTAAGTGCATGTAATTAAGTTTTCTCTCAAAAGGATAAAAGCGAATGATCTAAGGTTCAAATAACGAAGCGACTCATGTACCACTTCATTTCTTCCTCTCAATCTATAATCCTCCCTCAAAGTTAACTTTGTATTTTCTGCGATCCACTTTAATTAAATTTTTAGTTATTTTCACATATATTAAGAAATTTATCTTTTAATATTAATTAACAATAAAATTGATCATATTAACTTTAGTTTGTTCATTAAAAAATATTTATATTTTTAGGATTTTTATTCCAAAGACAACTTTAAAAAAAATTAATTCATTTTTAATATTTGAAAAATCAGATATTATGAATCACAAAAAAAGGGCCAAAAAATAAATTAAAGTGGATGAGAGAAGTACGTTCGCCAGTCTTGAAGGCTAATTTGTGCACTAATGTTATAAGTTCAAACGTGAAGTCGTCGGCATCATTATCCTTTCCTCATCCATGATGTAGATGGTGCACACAGGGACCATTAGATGATGTCCACGTATTCATTGAGGAGCTTTGTCTTTTTTTGTTGTAAAGTTCTGTTACATCAGAAATTAGGGAAAGAGACGAAAAGGAGAAAATAAAAATTGACCACATATACTATGTTAGGAACATTAACATGTATGACGTGTATAACTAGACGGTAAGTTTTAGTGATCCAATTGTAAAACTATATTTATTGTGGTGTTCAGAATCTATTATCTTAACCTTTTGAGTTATGTTAGAACAATAATACTCCTATCTTATTCACCAATTCGAATGAGATCGATAAACGTCAGAAGCCAAATCAGGTTTTAAATCTTCTTAAGTTCAAAAAATGACCCTTGGTTAGTATGAATTGCAACAAATAATTTTTTTTCTTCCAATAATCAATAATTTAAACAATAGAATCGCAGTATAGAAATTAGAATTCTACAGCTCTCTTTTTTTCTCCTTTAGTTTTCTTTTGATTTGCAAAACCTCATTTCGGCTTAGGGGAGTTGTTGTTTATTTGAGAAAAAATTGTAATCGAAGGTCATTTTATCATTTTAAAAATATATGAAATGGACCTACTTATTTTTGGCTGTTGAATTAAGACGAAAGAGGTTCACTGTCTTATTAAATGAAAGTGAAAGAGATAGTATTCTTGAATCTGATAATTATGTTTTGCATATTCGCCACGTACTAGTTATAAGACGTAAGACTATATGATTGATTAGTGTTGACTACGTAAACCGAATATTTCCCCAAGATATTCCTGTCCTTTGGTTCGGAAGTCTTTCTGGGTCTTCAAAAGATAGACAAAGGTATCATTTCTGATTCTTTTTTTTTTCCTGCAAGCTTGTGTGAATGGTTGTTACATGTTCCATCGTATCGTATTGTTACTTTAAATATTATATTTGTTTTGATTGTTACTTAAATTTTATTGTATCGCATCGTTAAATTTGTTTACGTAACGACAAAATGTATTACTTTATTTAACAACTAATTTGGTGTGGTCGTATCGTTACCTTGCCTTTTTCTCTCAATCTCACTCTTCATTATAATTAAATTGTTTTATTTTATCATTTATCCTATATTTTTATAATATCATTTTATCCCGTGTCATGATTTTTGTTTATAATATTACAAGTTTATTTTTTATATTGCTGGTGCGTGATATCCCGAAACGACGTCAAATTATATAATCTATCCAAACATTATATTTATCAAATAATATAATATAGTATAATACTATTATGAAATGATATATAACGACCATCCAAACAAGCTGTAAATTATTAATGATTTTAAAGAAAGACCATTTACATGCTTTACGTTTCCGCCAAAGCTGAAATTAAAAAATTAGAGATGAAAAATTAAGTGGCAGTGTTGCTCCCTATATTAATATTTAATACCGCTAGTCCAAAACCAAATAACTGAGCAATTATCCATTAACTGGTGCATATTGCGATAGATAGCTCATCATTGGATACCTTTTTGCATATTTTATTATTTAAGCATAAATCATGTGATATTTGTAATCCATTGCTATATTAATCTGAATTCGTGTCGCCTCCGTTGCATATTGACCGATTAAAGATAAAACATTTCTTACCAGAAGTTTTTTCATTTTTAAGATTCGAATTTAAAACCTCACTCTTAAAGAGTGGATGAGATCTCATTTATCGTATTATACATGTTAGTGGTCCTTTTCGAATGTTTGTTAATAATTGTGCATAAGATTGCTCCATATATCGACACTTGAATTGAAAGTGACTCAAGAATTCGTATAAACCATGGATTTGATTCACACACGAAGTTTCATAAGGACCCGTTATGGTCATAGATTTTGTCAAAATATATTTATTTTTTTGGCAAATATATGTTTGGCCATAGATTTTATTTATATTTTTGGCAAATTCCCAAAACACAAAATCCAAATACCAAAATCAGCTTTGGCCCAAAATATCACTATTACGTTTTATCAAAATTGATTCAAACTTTGTATTTTATAAAAAAAAACCACTATTTATTATTTTGTAACAATGCTGGTTCGTCTTCTCGATCACCTGATAGTGTATTATGTAATTCATTATAAAAATGATAATTTTATACCAAATTTATTTATGTTCAGGATTATGGTTTGCGATAATATAATGAATGTTATTGATAAAAATTCTAACTTTTCGTTATAAATAGACTTTTAGTACTTGTAAAACTCATGTTCAAACTGATAGAGGGACAACTTTGACGACATCAATTTTTACCGGCCCAAATCAACCACAAAAATAGTAGAATAAGAATTTGAATTTTCTTTAATCTTTGCTAACTCACTGATTTTACTTCTTATAAGTCTGAGAAAAACATACGCAGTGAATTATTAATTTAATTGCTTTGATTCTTTCTTTTTTTTTTTGGTTTGTTTTGAAATTAAGCACTCGAGCTTGGCATTTTCCTGCAACCTTATATTTTTTCGAGAAGAATATCAATCAACTAACAATATGGTTTCCACAAAAATTGGAAAATTCTTAGAATCACTTAGTAACTGTCCAGGTAACACTCAAGAAAAAAGCCAGAACATTAGTTTTTGTCGGTCCCATCCATATATATCTACTATCTAGTTCTTGAAACTTGATACGCCACAAGTTGTATCTGACATTTTAACCTCTTAATGGTATACTAAGTAGTAAGTAATAAATATTTATGTATATTCTTAGACCACAACAAGAGACAGATTCATAATTTGTACTGTACTTTATATATTCAGATTCACAATTTTATCACATTTCATATAATTCAATGAATTTAAAATTTACTATTTACATATATTTAATTATTTTTTGGAACAAAAATATAGGATATGAGCGAAAACTATGGGTTCAGATGAACCCATAGTTTATACACGGGATACGCCCCTGACAAAACCCATGAAGACTACATCATGTCTTTGTGCAAAAAATTGAAAAATAACATATTTATAGCATGAGGCCTTGCAAATTTTAAGGAAAATTGTAAAGCTACTAAATACATTCACCAAAATATTCAAGAAAGAATGAAAATAATATATATACATAATCTAGAAAAAGATAACATGTCGGGCAACGGAGTTATAACAAGTTTCATCTTTTGGAAAGAAGTTACGTTGGGACAAAAACTTGCACAAAATCTAGAAAAGGAATCACATGTAATGTTTGAGCATAGTTATTATAATCTGATAAAAACCAAATCACATTTTGCAGAAATTTGGCTGCAGGAAATGAAAAGGGAAAAGAAAGGAGAAATACCGAAATTCGGTGGTGCATTTGTTGATTTCCGACATGTGTAAAAAAAAATTCCAATAAACTTTGTTAATTTTGCGAAATTGTTTTAACCAAACACCATTTGACTCTGAGAATTGATTGGTTGGGAAAAAAATTTGAAAGTATCTTTTACAACATTTTAACTCTTGCAGAATCCGACATTAAAAAGTCACTTATTTTTAAAACAAACCTCACCAGTACTTTTAAGGGGTTGTTTGGTACGGTGTATAAGAATAATGCTGAATAAAGTATATTAATAATACAAAAATTAGTAATGCATGAATTAGTAATGCAAGTATTATGTATAAATTATTTCTTATCCACTGCTTGGCGTGGTGTATTAAAAATTAAAATACATTGCATAAATTTTAAGAAAATTAGCTATTTACAAAAATATCCTTCATATTCTTTAGCTTTAAGGAATTTCAAGGATATTTTTTTCTTTAACTATGCTAATGCATGCATTAATAACATTGATATTGCTAGTACCATGGTTTGCTATGTACTAGTTATACATAAGATAATATCAAATACGTTGTATAACTAATATTTGCATTAGCAATACATAGGTTGAAAAAAAATGCCATTGAATTAATAATGTCAAAAACTAATGCATGGCTATTTTCTCTAATGCATCCCACCAAACGACCCTATTAGTTGTTTAATAGTAAGGAATAGTTGACTAATTGAATAAAGAGGACAGACAAAAATGATGGCGAGATTTAAATAGTATTGGATTGAATATCTAAACTATGAGTTTAAGCAAACACAATATTTTTAATATGAAATATAGAGATATATATGAAAAATTACAAATATTTCAACAAATATTTTAATTTGAGTCCATAATTCAAAAGTATAATGAATTTAGTGCTAAAAATCTAAAGTATCAACTATCCAATTAAAATATTGGAGAAATTTTTACCAGATATTTAAGTGACGAACCAACAAATATTCGATTAATAGAGGAGATTTTTACCTCCTACAGCAAAAGTTAACACCTTATTTATTTTAAATAAATACCATTTTAAAAAATTATATTCTATAGATACCTTTTAATGTTTATAGCAAAATATCTAATTTTGGTTACCTCCTACACCTAAACCATTAAATAAGCTATTCAGTTACACTATTTCCTTTCCCTCTCTACTTTAATACATGTCATTCTCCTCCCCACGCTCTCTCCTCTCTCTTTATTCTCTTCTCCTCCCCGCCGGCGCAATTATGCTTACCGCCACACCACCATCTTCTGCTTCTAAAATCAGAAGAACAAACAACGCTGATGATTCAACGACTAAACTCTTTGTAAAGTTAAGTCTTTCGAGGCTTCTACCCCTCGGGCCAAATATATTACAAGCAGGATGATCCCTATCTTCCCCTTCTGGTAGATAAGCTCTCCAGTACCAATCCCTATCTTGAACTGTTACAAAGTATTTACCATCCAATCTCTTCTCGGATTCGGTCCTCTTTTGGCCACCAAACATTGGATGAGGTAGAATATTACCCAATACCTTAATATCGGCTTCACCAAGCCTCACAACAGCATGATTAGATAATGCCTCTTAATTTCAAATATACCTTGACCAAATTGTTTCTGATTTGATCGGATTGGTTCTGAGGCGACAATTGGTAATTTATTGGATCCGATTCAGGGACCCATTGGGGCTGAGCAGCTTGATTTTCTATTAATATATTTCAATATATTTTTAATGTATCACACTGTATTTTTATGTATTTCATTGTATTCATTGTCTATTTTTTCATTATAATTCAATGTATTCCATGTATTTTATTGTATTCACTATTTTTTTCATTGCATTTCAATGTATCCCGCTATATTCTATGTATTTCATTGTATTTACTGTCTCGCTATATGCCATAACTGTATTCATATATTTTTTAATTAATATAATTTATGTATTCAAATGTATTATATAATTTCTCTGAAGATGACTATGTTTCTGGGGTATTTTTCGGTTGGGAATCTTTTTTATAACTGGAAATACAAAATTTGTGTGTTGTAATTGAGTTTGTTGAGTTATATTAGGAGTCTATTATGTTAATTGATTCACTTTCCGTTTAAAAACAGTGTAATCCCCTGTTTCATGTCGTGAATACAGTCGAATACAATAATCTATCCAGTTGTAATATCATGTTTCACGCTATGAATATAGTCGAATACATTCGAATACAACATCTGATTAGCTGGACTTTCCTGATTCACGCCTATTTTTGCTATTGTATTCATGCATACAGTAGCTTAAATACATCTAATACATCTTATAACAACAGAAAACGTATCTACAATTCGTAATATAGCAAATGATATTTATAGATAGCTAATTACCACTAAAAAATAGTGCTTTATGAAAATTTCTGTTAATAGAGTAGTTAGCAACTCCCAATCTCGAACCACATGAAGTGTTTTTTGTTTGTTTTCCTTTCCTTTTCACATGCACTTTGTAATTTTGTATATATTGTTGTCCTTGGCATGAAATAAGAATTAAAAAAAATAAAACAAATTCGCGAAAACTCGTGAGGAAGAGACAAGTTACTGACCTATTTTGTCCTGACTTGGTTCTGATTGAAGCAGCGGTAAATAAGGCCTCAACGTGCGAGAGTCCATGTATCTCTGCTGAGTTGTTCCCTTCAAATTTACAGAATTACCCTCAGACGTGGCATACCGCAATTGCTCTATTGACAATGCCACACAAAAAAGAAGTGATATAAATAAAGAAAGAAAAAAAAAAGTAGACGACAACACTCCTACGGTTTCTCCAACCCCTCAATCTACCTCAAGGGTCAATTCGTGTTATATATAAGTGTGGAAGCTATCATCCATCTCTAATCTAATCTACAACAAAACAAAGCACAAGTAACTCTGCATACAAGAAAAAAAGAAGCAAAAAAAATAGATAGGACTAAGGAGGATTTGAAGTTGTATCTTTTTGTTGTTGCTTTGGTGGAGTTGCGGGAGTTGAGGACTCTCCGCATTAAGGGATACCCAGGGCTAGGAGAGGAGCCGTTTCTCCTTTGTTTGGTTATATCGTGTGACTATGGATTCGGCTGATCCTGCTCGGGCATTTGTTAAGGACGTCAAACGAATTATTATCAAGGTATATTCTTTATTTTTTTCAGTTTCTTTTTTGTTTCACTTTCTTTAGTGTATACCTTATATTTGCATGTCTAGTTTGATGGTTGATTTTCCTTTTTTTTTTCTTCTTCCTGTTGTCCTCCTTTTGTTGGTTGATGTCCAAATGCCTCTATAAGTAATTTCTTTTTCTTTTGATTTGGTATAGCGGTGGTGTTTGAGTTATGCAATAAGGTAGTTCGGCATGAAGTATCTGATTCATTTTTTTTTTTTTGGGTTGAATTTGAATGTTAGATTTCAGTAATAGTGGCCATTCTGCTTCGTTTTTGTTGATGTTTTTTTTTGCTAGATTGGAAAAGGTCCTAATTAGTTTTACTCTTTTTTCAGCTATGTTGCATGTTATCTTTTTTGTTTTGGTTGAATAATCGTGGTTTCTGGTCCAACTTGCATCGTAATTACTACTTTCCATCATCAAAGGTATCGAGTAAAGTCTTAGGCAGTATTTTTGTAATTTTTTTTTTGAACCCTGGTTTTCCACGATTTTTTCCCGTTAGAGAACGACCAACTTGCAAATAACTGGGGTTCTAGATGTAAAAGTCGTACATATTTAATGAATTTATGAAAACAAATACACTCTTGGAGCATAGACTAGTGGGTTCGAGCGAACCCACATCCAAGCTTTTAGCTCCGCCTCTGATTACACGTCTGGTGTGTGGGTGGCTCTAGCATAAAGCCGCTAAAGCTTCTGCTTTAGGCGCCTAAGAGTCAAAGGCCTCCCAAAACTTTTTCTAATGATTATAATTATTTATATTAGTAAAGTTTTTTCAAGTTAACAAAACATTAACATTTCCTTCTTTAGCCAGGGTGTATCGGAAACAATTTCAATACATTATAGTGGTTCTAGTTATTAGATATTTTATTAGTAGATATGAATATTTGAATAATTTAAGTCAAAATTTTAAAATATTTGACAATGTTATACTGTGAAATATTTAAAAGAAAACTTAAAAGTTTGTTAAGACCACGATTTTTTTCTTTGTTATCTAAATTAATCGTGTCTATTTATCTAAACGTTGTCACATTAGTAATGCTATTTCCTCACATCTAAATTTTGGCTTTAGGCCTCCGGTTTCATTGAGCCGCCCCTAGTTTGGTGTACCATCTTTTGTAGTTATCTTTTTCTTAATCTCTAGTTCTAGTACATTTGGTTTTCCTTTTAACAAATTGTTATGTCTTTTCCAAAGGTTGGAACTGCAGTCGTGACTCGAGGTGATGGAAGATTAGCACTTGGAAGAATGGGCTCACTGTGTGAGCAGGTGAATCTTATGCTTACTCAATTTCCACTATATTGATTAGATAGTTTCTTTTAATTGTATATTATTATGTTTGCTTACAAACTACTTACAGATACGGGAACTTACCACCCAAGGCTTTGAAGTTATTTTGGTGACCTCAGGTGCTGTTGGTGTTGGCCGTCAGCGGCTTCGATATAGGAAGCTCATTAATAGCAGGTTTCTGCTTTGCTCTTTCTGTATAAACGATGTTCTCTTTGTATTCTAAAATTGCAATTCAAATAGCTTAATAACCCGTTTGAGTTAAATGCAACTTTTGGTATCATTGAAAAGTAAGTGTGTGGCTTATGTTAAGTGATACAGGTGAATGAGAACCTCTTACTAAAATGTCAGTAACATGTATAGAGTAGTTTATCTCATGGATGACATCTTTGCCTATTGTATAATTTTTTGAATTGTATTCTGCTAGCCAATGTTGTCAAAGGCGCGCTTAAGCCCTGAAGCGAGGCTCAAAACATGTTGAGCGCTTCGCCTCGCTTTGGGGGCGCTTCAGTGTCATAATTTTTTTTTTTAATGTAGATTTGTTATTCATGCTTATTATTATTGGTCTTGGACTACATATACATATTTTTACTTTTTTCCTGTTGCGCTTTTTTTCATTAAAGCCCACGCTTTATTTGCACTTTGCGCTTAAAGCCCCAACGGGCCTTAGGGCTTTTTTGCGCTTTACGCCTTTGATAACACTGCTGCTAGCTGCCTGAATTATTGATACAACGTTACAAGTGCAGACACCTGTAACCTTTACATCTGATTTCGTGTATTATTAGATATTAGAATACACTCAATCTATTATCCTCGTCGACGAGAAGCAAAAGATAATATTTTACATTTCAGCATTAACAAGATACTTTAAAATTTCAAGTATGTGTGTTTCATTATTCACATTTCAAATGCAGTTTTCAATGTACTAAATAGCTAATTGGGCCCTGTAACAGCCTAGAGACCTTTAGCGGTTGAACTCGAAAGAGATCATTGTGAAACTTGCCTTGGGTAAATTCGACATGGGAATGGGAGGGTATAGTTAGGAGCCGGCCATAAAAAGGCGAGTTTAGGATTCAACTGTTGAGGCACCTTTTGGGATAAAGCCGAAGGAGACAAAACCATGAGGCCCAAAAGCCTTGAGGAAGTCAGGCCAAAGCAGATGATATAGCTGCCAAGGCCGTGACATGCCTTACTCTTATTAGGTTAAGTATATCTAATAAACTGGAAGCCTGCTAATTTGAAAAGTCTAGTCTATTGAGGTCTAGGTTGGCTCAAAAGTATATTTACTAATCCTTGGAAAGTCTCCATATTTGCAGCTTTGCGGACCTTCAAAAGCCTCAAGGTGATCTTGATGGCAAGGCTTGTGCTGCTGTGGGTCAGAATGGCCTGATGGCTCTGTATGATACGTTATTCAGTCAGGTAAAAGCTTGTTTTTTGGAACTTCTGTGTATATTTGTATGGTGTAATACCTTATTTTGTTTGGCGGAACCATTCCTTCTTTGCTCAAAGGATTGTATAGTGACCTTCCCGCTTTGTGCCTTACCTTCATACAGTTGGACGTAACCTCAGCTCAGCTTATGGTGACTGATAATGACTTTAGAGATCCGGACTTTAGGAGACAACTCAATGAAACTGTAAACTCATTGCTCTGTCTGAAAGTTGTACCTATATTTAACGAGAATGATGCTATCAGCACGCGGAAAGCTCCTTATGAGGTACCATTTCTCTTGTTTTACTACTGTACTTGCTGTATCTGGTGCTTCTGTTACAGTCCCTTCGCTAATGATGTTTTATGAGAATAAAACTGATGACTCTAACTTGTGTCGAGAGTCAAGACCAACCAAGAGTGCAACTCTTAAAATTTTTGAAATGTTTGTTCAGCTGTTTCAAGTTTTGATCCTTTGGAACCTGCTTGATTGTTGATATGTCTGAGACCCTGAGTTACATGCATTTTCTTTATCTCTGTTGTTTTTTACTTTATTGTCACATCACATGAACCCTTTTATTAAATTGGGTTCTCTTAAATTTTGGTCCAAAATATCATCTTGATTTTGTTTGGTCTTCAGCCTTTGACATGATATGGTTTTCAATTTTTAGCTAGTATCCATTAGATAACAAGTTTCAATTTTTTCATTTTTGTTCTAGGTTCATGTTTTTGTCTTAATAGTGACAGTTTTTAGCTCTCTTTGCAGGACTCCTCTGGAATCTTTTGGGATAATGACAGTTTGGCAGCTCTACTGGCTCTGGAGCTAAAAGCTGATCTTCTTGTTTTGTTGAGCGACGTAGACGGTCTTTACACTGGCCCTCCAAGTGATCCGCAATCAGAGCTAATTCATACTTATGTTAAAGAGAAGCACGAGGGGTTGATTACTTTTGGAGACAAGTCTAGAGTGGGAAGAGGGGGCATGACTGCCAAGGTAAAAGCTGCTGTGTATGCAGCTTATGCTGGCATTCCTGTTGTGATAACCAGGTATGATGTTAATACTAACAGAATTCTGACATTTTTGAACTTTGTGTTCATAAATTGTTTGCGTGTCCTATTAAGATATTTAAGAGAGTAGAAAATGCAGCAAAAACAGTTTGTGTCAAAGTTGAACTTTTAGCTTTCAATCAAGGTAGAGAAGCTTGAGGATTTGAGTGAAAGCTGTTATGATGTTTTCCAGATATGCATTGATAGAACCTATGTTGCGCGGACTCTTCAAAATACTGCCGCACCCGTGTCGGATTCTCCAAAAATACACTGCTTTTGGAGAATCCAACACGCACCCGGCAATATTTTCGAAGAGTCCGAGCAACATAGGATAGACCCCAATATTCATGTTCCTAAAGTTGTAGTTTGATGGTCTAAAAGCTTTAAGATTTCTCTTCTGATCAAGCAGAGATGTTTAAGAAGTTCTAGAGCATTGGAAGCTTCTGCTTGATGCATTGACATCTATTCCACACACACAAAAAGAAAAAGAAAAAGTGTTGCATTAATTTCATAATAAGGTGGCTCATCCATCCTTGCATTTTTACCATGGAAAAGGTGATGCTTCCATCAAAATAGAGATGGATCCAGGATTTAAATTTTTTGGGTTCAAATTTTTGAGTTTATTGAAAACTTAGGTTAAAAACTGAATATTCATACTGCTGGTTTTCTGGATTTTTCACATATATTTCTGTTGTCTATTCCAAACATGATGAGCTCAGATGAACCCACAC